TCCATCATTTTCACCTGGCAATGGAAAATAATTCATCTATATGATTACCCCATATTAATCCATGCAATGTCCATTTCAAAACTAGAATTGTCCGTTGCCATGCACAATTACCAGAGGGTTTCCCGGGTCAATGACCTTTGGCAAAACAATCATCTAAAACCTCCAACCAAGATTTTCACCCATTTATAACTGAATTATCCTTTTATGATAATCTAACCAACCTATTTATAAATCAATGACCTTTGTTATAACGATCATCCATGACTTTGTTATAAATGAATCGTGTTTTATGAGTGTCCGAAAGTTTCACCGGAATTCGGCTGCCCTGTTGGATTACCCAACCGGGTTTCTATGTACAAGTCTTGATGAAGCCATCCAAGCCTCGCGGGAAGTTCAAGAGTTTAAGCGGATTCTTCCACAAGATAGATGGGTTCGTGTAACCAAAAAACGTTCATCAAACAAATGAAGAATTGGGGCTCAACCATACAAATTGGACTAAGGAAAAACATTGTTCGGCGTAAAGTAAGTATATACAAAACATAAGAGGAACAATTAATATCATCCTTCACCAATCAGAATCATTAAAAAAAACCTTCCAATAAAATATGGGACTTTTAATAAACAACCCAGTACAAGGCCATGTTTTCTTGGAGGAAAAAGGGAGTAGTAAAATTGACCCAACTCTCTGGAACATGGGGACTAAGGACCTGAAAGATTCACATTGGGAAGTTCATTCACTTTCTATGTGGCTTGTGCATCCTATGTCAATGGCAGCACCCTTGGGGATTGGGGATATCACCCCGTGGGCACCCGGTGGTTACCTCGTAATGGACATAGCGTCGGGGTAACAGCTGGGTCTACCCCTGCACAAGTGCTGCATCCCCCATGATGCATCAAATATGTGTATGTATATATATATAAGCTATACATAATATATATATATACATATTATGTCTATATACATATTATATATATATATATTTGTGCTGGTTGTATAAACTATAAACCATATCCCCAGGTGTGTGTGTGTGTTTCTGGGTCTATTAAAACACAACCGTTTCCTGGATTTGCGATATCTCCCCAACGTTCCCATCTTATGTTTCGCAACATCTTGGAAATTCAAGAATATCTTTGTAATTTCCATGTCTTGCTTGATTTTGCTTGATTGCTTGATTTACAGTAAAGCCCCATATTTAATGGGTTAATGGGACAATCTATGGTTTCCTGTAAATTTTCCCTTATTTTCCCTTACCATTGAAATACAGTTTGGTGTCAGTTTTGACTCATCCAAAAGCATCATTCAAAACCTCCAAGAAAATTAATCTCGTGAGATCTCCACAAGCCTGGCAATAGACAGGAAGAAGCCTGAAGCCTAGAAACGATGGTGAAAGCATCATCAAAAAAATCGTATTCTGGAACTACTTATGACGATAAAAACACTATCATAAACCTGGATATTATAGAGTTATACCTAGTAATTAACTATGATGTTTTCCCCAATTGCAGATATATCATGATACAATCTACATTAATCTACCATGCATCCTAGTTCTTGGAGTTACAGTATGTTCACCAACTGAGCGATTTCTTTAGCCACGGCACCGCCATCCACCATCGGCCGGTCGGCCAGGTTTCGATATACCCTCACCAAGCAATAGTTCAATGTCTTTCCCAGCTATAAACCTCCATTGAAACTACGAGGAGATTCCATTATATTCCATTGAAACCTTCATTTCTAGGTGCTTCTCTGATATTGTCCCATTAAAATGATTAAAAAAACGCCATGTTTTGTCTATATAGTCCGGTCATCCACCAACGATTCCCCACCTGCAGGCGTGGGCAACGGCTTTGCCTCTCGACGTGCGCGGCTGCGCTGCAGCGCTTCTTGGGCCTGGATCTCATGGGATTCGATTCCCACGGGGCGCTGGGAATCCATTTGGGAATATCATGAAAATCTGATGGTTAATCATTTAAACATCTGTATTTAACCATTGGGATTAACCATCATTAATCCATCTGTATTTAACCATCATTAACCATTGGGATTAATCATTTAATGATGGTTAAATACAGATGGTTAAATCTGATGAAAATCTGATTATACTGATATTTGCCATTTAATGATGGTTAAATACTGATTATACCACCTATTGGGAAAAATCTGGGAAAAAATCCATTGAACGGAAGGTTTGATGACATGGTTTTTTCCAAACCAAATGGGAGTGAATCCAATGTTGGAAAAACAATGTCATAAACCACCAATGACTGGGAATGGGAAGTTTCTACCACCTATGAAAATGGTGATGTGGGGGATTGTTTATTATTGTTTTAACCACATTACAGGGAATATGTGTGTTTTCTGCATCAGGAAGGCCTTGTTGTTTTCTGAAGTGACCATCGCAAATGCACCAGTGGAGAAGATGTCAATGGGTGTAGCAACCCCCAAAGGTCCATAGATAGATGGATAGATGGATAGATATATAAATAGATGGATGGATGGATGGTTGGTTGATATATATATATATATGTATCTGGGCAAATAATAATAATTCACTAACCTGAAACTTGCGGCCATTGTGGGATGATTCCCCTACAAAAACCATGATTCCAGGGCTCGGTCGTGAGTAAATTTGCACAGATGTATTATATATATATATTATGTATATATATATATGTATAGATAATACATACACCCCTCACATCCCCAGTGCATCCTGGCCCCGCCTTCTGACCCAGTGAGTCCTCAGTGCCCAGAGATTCCAGGGCGTAGGCATCGATAAAGTCCTGCGCAACGCGACGTAGGTGAGGCCGATGTTGGTGAGGCTTTTTCAACCCCTAAGCCAAACGTTAAGCAACTGGTAGGTCAATTGAGCTCTCGTTTGGGGGATTCCACATGGTGTTATTGAAAAATCCGGGATTTACCAAGGAAACTGAGAATTTACCAGGTAAACATAGGTAAACAAATAACAAATTGTGGTTGAAGCAAAGACGACAATGATTTTGTGTATTGAAAAGCATAGTAGGTACCAAGAAATCCTGGTTCATACCCGGATGATCCCGCGAACCATATTTTCCATGGGGGTTGAAATTCCAGGGGGTGGGTTGGCCACCCCTTTTTGTAGCTACAAAGCCTTGAACCAACCCCCCCTACTACATAAAGGGGTGCTTGACCTCAAAAACAACCAAAAAAGGCCCTACCAAAAGGATGCACCCAACCCTTCTAAAGCCCCTACTAAAAGACAATGTGATTTTAGATGTCTATATAGATCTCTAAATGGCTCATTTTGTTGATGTTTCTTAGAACGGGTTTCCTTTTTGTAGGGAGCCCATTTTTCATTGATTTTGAGTCTAAACTTGAAAAAAAAACCAAAAGGTAGTGAACCACCGGTCTCCCCCGGGGGATGGCCCTGAGTTTCAATGCGGACTTTTCTCATCACTGTTTCTTGCTGCTTTTGGCCGCTTCCCGTTTTCGGGTCACAGCCACAAAATCACAAACTTCTTTCAACAAACGGAGCCAACCTTGCCTAGCTTTGGCATCATCACCCTGGAGCTTTGATTTTACCAAGTCCAAGTGCCTGTACACTGTTTTGCCGTAAGCACAGGCTTTCTTTTTCTTGGTCAGCGAGTACCTCAGCAAGCACATGTTAAAACATTTGAAAAATTTCTCTGGAAGTTTGCGACCCACAAGGTAGTGAAATATAGCATTTTGTAAAGGATTGGAAATGCATTTTGTAGCGCAGCATGGTGTGACCAGTTGATTTGTACGCTAAAATTCAGCTTAGGTGCATGGCTTCAAGTGCCAGAGGCGATGCCTTCAGCACCTCTGACCACGTAAAGGAAGAAGCTCCTTCGAACTTCAACCGGCAACATCCTTGGGAGTCAAAAACTGGATTCGATGGGAAAGTCTTGGCGTCAATCTCATAGATCTCCTGAAAAACCAGCTTGATGGCCTCATGGCCGTCAACGCTTCGACGGATGTCATCAGCTGTGACATCAGAAGCTGTCTTCACTTGTGGGATGTGGCTATCAGCTTTCTTTTTTTTGGTTTTGGACAATGTTTCATCTTCATCTTGTGTTTCTTTCTTGGACTTCAAACCTTTTTTGGACGCATGAGTTCCCCGTTTCAATTTCGATTTTATGCATCCTTTACCCACATGAAGCGGGATGGAATTGGTCTTTTTCCATCCCCGAACCATGGTGGGCTGCACACGCCACCGTTTCACTCCATCAACCTTTGAGAGGAGCTCACCACTGCTCTCACTCAGAAGCAGCCGGACCTTTCCATCACCTTCATCTGGTTCAGTGCCTGAGCTGCGCATAGCGTGAAAATGCACTACAAAAAGAGAAGATAAGAGAAGACTTGCACACCACTGGGGAAACCCACAAAACTATCCTTACAAAAAGGGTTACATAAAAGCACCCTGCTACAAAATGACCGTATGATACAGTAGGAACATCCAGGAGAATGCCAACCCAAACTTGCAATGCAATGAATTGCTACTCCTCATGATCAGTTGATCATGGGCTTCTTCATATCAATACATTCTGAATTGTTTTATATATATATTAATTGTATTATTTTTGTTTATGTATGTTTATGTATTTTATTCAGAGTTCAGATGATGCATAAGTATGCATAAGTATGCATAAGATTGCATAAGTGCATGCAAGGGACATTCATCGCAGTCTAAGATGCACACCAAGGCCTCCATCCTGACAACCCATGCGCAGGATGTCGCTGAGCACCACCACCGCAATGGATCTTCCTGCACTGACAGGGTTCCAGGCCATGGCCCCTACAAAAAGGAATATGAGGCCATCTTCCCTACAAAAAGACTATATACCTTTTATATCCTTTTATATATTTTTATGTCCTTTTATATCCTTTTATATCCTTTGATATCCTTTGAGTATGATGAGACAACTTTGCCACACAAGTATACACAAGTCTGAAACCAAAACAAATCTCTACAATATCAATGTCCATAGAAATTTTCATCTCAAAAATTCAAAACTTTGTATTGTTTGGACTGAAGGCTTTTCCATGCCTTTTCCAACATGCTAACAGACATCCTGTCCTCGTCCTCCATTTGAAGGGTGACAGCCCGGAAGGCCATGCAACTGTTGACATGGCAATCTGTGGCCACGATTTTGGGATCCTTGATGCCCTTCCACACACTCATCACCAACCCGATTTCAAGCAGGGGTTCTTTGTCGCTGGAGCATGAAGGCAGGATGAACACAACCACGTGCCCAGGCCTCAATGAAGGATCCCTACAAAATGGAAATCAAACCGATATAACCCTACAAAATGACACTCAACAAAAATTGAAACGCCAACCTTGCAACACGAACATCATCGAATAACATCGAATATGTATTGGGTCTTATACATATATAAATAAAACATGGATTACCATGGGCTTTAATGATCTTTAATGATCTTTAATGTGGATATGTTTAAAACAAATTCTTGTAAATGTGGATAAACATGCCACCAAATTTGAAACCAAGTTGCTGGATACGTTCAGGAATCGCAGGGTGGAGATCCAGCTCCTGGTGGGCCTGAGTGGCCAGCTCACGCCACTTCTGAAGTCTGGAAGATCTGTTCCTGTACTGAGGGCTTTCCTTTTCCTGCTCCAGCCGTGCTAGGAGACGTTCGTTGTGCCTCAGCGCAACAGAAAATTCAAAACATGACATACGGAAGCCTCAAACCCTCTGAAACTATCTTACAAAATGGTTACACCCGAAGCATCTGCTTACAAAATGATTTTCCTTCATTTTGGGGGAGGGGCACAACCAAGTTATCCCCCGTCATTTCCATTCATTTCCCTTTTTGTTCCAAAAATATCCAAAAATGAAAACACAAATACAAATCCATAAACATCCCAGACGCTGATGCCAGTTCAAACCACGTGCTGCGCGCCGGCAGTTCTGAGCATTGGGCAGAAATCCAGTGTCGGCTCCACCTGGAACACTCCTCAGCTTGACTGCCAGTCTGAAGATCAGGTTGAAGAAGTCACCCGAAGACGACATCACATCTCTGAGTGTGCTCGGCAATGCATTGGGATCAATCTGATTTTTGGACGACTTTCCAACTAGTTTCTCCATGTCTTCCCTGTCCGGCATGTTTTCCATTTCTGGGTCTTCAACAGCAGCTTTGAAGGAATCACCTTCCAGGTCATGCATATTGGCTGCCTCGGCTTCGGTCTGCAATGCCTGGATGAACTTGACACACTCATTGGAATCGTCAGCTGGGTTCATTTCTTCTGGTTTCTCCTCTTCAGGAAGATCATCGTCTCCTCCAAAGGTCATTGGATCCTTGCATGAACTCTTGTAGAAGGTTTTCAACTCTTCTTCAGAGATCCCGGAGATCTTCGACACAAACATCACAGAAGAAGACCAAGCGTTGTGGCAACACTCTTGGAACCTAGGCTCAAGAAAATATCAGGAGTAATTCTCTACAAAAACCATCCCGTTATCCAGTACTACAAAAAGATTTTTTGTATTTGTCTGGATCCGTATTGATGGAGATGAATAGAGATGACCCCGCAAACATACCCAAACTCACTACAAAAACACTTTGCCACTAATATTTACTACAAAAAGATATTAAGGGGTATCCCTGTACATCCTGATGAAATATGAAAAAATGATACAAGAAACTCGGCATTGGAGAGTGCAGCTTCCCTTCCAGGCAGTGGCTTGTCCTGGTTGAGTTGCTTGGACATCTGCATTGCATGCCTAGCAGATGCACGAAAGTATGCCCTGCTTGTCAGTTGAGAGTTGCCCGACTGGGAACGTAGTGCCCCGAAGAATTGCTCGATGGCTAACTCTGATAGCCTGCCATGGGAAGGTTGCCATGGACAAGTTTCAGCGTCTTTCGTCAATGCCACTACCACCGCAGCCATTGCACATGATTGCAAGTTTGTTTGCGTCTGACCTGCCATGTATGTGCTTCCTCTCGGAAGATGAAGCCGCTCGCAAAGGTCAGAAGAGACCATCTGGAAAAGGTCTAGCAACAAAAATCCTGACAGTGCAACTTCGCACCGCGTCTTCAGTGGCAGCCCTCTGTGAAGAAGAGGTGCAACGTTCAAAGCAACCTAGTCTCTGTGGATACTTTTGTGGGACAGTCTTGTGTTATGTTCTTGTGTGTACTCTGCAGGGATGACCAGGGCCTACAAAAAGAGGAATCCAACTGTTATAACCCAATGTGCCTACAAAAAGACGTTTCTTGGGGTCCCAAATTTGTATTCAAATGGTCACATCTTTAAAGAAAAAATGCCCCCATCAAGAAAACAATATAAATGTCAAGAATCTATAACATTGTGGATGAGAGCTCCCCGAAGTGCCCAGGGCGTCCGCATGGAAGAAAGAGGTCCGTCCTCAATGTCTTGACCACAGCAAATCACAAATTCAAGAAGCAGTTGTGTTTGAACATTTCAATACATTTCAGCCCTTTTAGTTGGATCAAAACCATTCAAGACCATTCAAAACTATCCTTTCTGTAGCATCATTTTTTTTGCAGAGCATGTTAATCTTTCTGTAGCATCATATGGGTAATTTCTTCTAAGGTTCGTCTTCCTTGACATAGAAGAACGGGTTACTCAATAATGCCTGGCACCGATCTGACATCGGGTGCGCCCGACCCAGAGCCATCGCTGGCATGCCGTAGTTGCGACACTGCACCAAATCGACCCAGAACGGTCCATAATAGATTGTTCTGAGGTATGAGGTGCATTGCCCACCCGAATTCTTCGAGGCATGGCCTTAGAGAGAGATGAAGCTGGCACAATGGAAACCCTACAACGGCAATACCCCTTTCCAAAATTCTAAACATATCTAAACATTATCACAAGATCACTGGAAAGGAGTTGGTCTACAAAATTCATAACCAAAGTCTTACTGCTACAAAATGACATTCATACAGGAAAAGCATGCCTTTCATCATCCTTCCTAAGACAAAACTTGCATACAACAAAACTCTTCCAAGTTCAAATCCAATCACACACTCCAGGTATGCCCCAAATGTATTCACCATTGTGAAGACAAAACTGTATGGGCAGCCTCGGAAGTGGGTGACTTGGGAGAGGTTGGTAACGCAAATCCTTGAAGAAAGGGATGTCCGAAATATCATCCATAGGGAGCCCCAAAGTTTGTCCGTGGAGAAGTTTTCGGCAAAATTGATGAGTGCCGTGGGAATCACAAATGAGACCTTTCAGGACTCCATCGTTCTCGGCACAAACTTGCCCGACGAGGGAGCAAATGTAGAGATTGCCTCTGTAGCCACTGTTGACACCAGAAAACGAATGCTCGACTGGAACAGCGGCCACACTGAGTGGGGACTTCTTCCTTCCAAACGGGTTCCAAGTCAAAAATTCCATGATGGAACTTGCTTTCCTCACCTCGGAGACATTGAGGTCCTCTCTCAACTCAACGAATGCATTTCCTGAGTCATCTGGTGACCAAACACCCCCTACCATACCTCTTTTGGAATGAAGTTCCATGGATGCCAGTGACACCGTCAGGTATGTAGCATCAAACGCCAGCATGAGGCGACCTCATGAGAAAGAAGAATGGACTACAGATTGAGTAGCAACATAGGGGTTGCTACAAAAAGGGAATTTTCCATAAAAGCTCAATTTCAAGTATTACAATGCTATTACTTGTCTCTTATGGATTTATATCATACCCCATTCTGATCCATCCACCTCACTTCATATATTATAAGATATTATATATATTATATGCATTTATATGCGTACTATATTCAGCTATATCCATCTATATTATATTAATCAATTTGTAGAAAAATATCACTTCGTTGTCTTTTTGTAGGACAGTAAGGGCCCATAATGGAAACTAAAAAATCAATAAAATTCAGGTAAGACACGCTTCGGTGCATTATGTGCCTTGGAGTTTCGCTGGTCCACAAGCACCCAGTTTTGCCGCAAAGTATCTGGGAAGCAAACGGACAAGGGAGGCACCGGCAAGCTATTCTTCTCCAGGACCTCCATGCTGATGACATGACTCCTGCTTGAGAGCCCAAACTGACGGGCGAGGGCATTGTTGCCCGCCGCCACCGCCAGTTGGATCCCTGCATCCTGAACGAGGTCCCGTTCAAGATCGGTGTGTTGGGATCTTCTCCCACTCATCGTGAATATGCCTCGTTCTTGTTTTTCCAGCATTCTGGCCACCTGGAGCAGGAGACCTTGGATCAAAGGATGGTTTTGTAGTCGACCAGATATGGCTGCAGCTGCCAGCTTAACATCCACCAGATCCTGTTCTTCTGCTTCATTTCCAGCTAGGATGCAAGCAAACTTGGCGCTGATGTCGGACAGGCGTGACGGTACAGAAGCCACACTGATCTGCAACGATGGTCGCACAATCATGTCGATGAAATCCTTCATTTTCTGCTGCACTGGGCATCCGGCAAGAAGCTGCATCTCACCCACTGCTGCATTCTTGCATTGTCAAGCCTCATCATGTCATCGAGCTTCTTCTTGTTTTGTGTGTAGTAAGCTGAAGCCCTGAGCTTGTCCATCAACTGAGTCAGCGCAAGATCTCCCTGAAAGAGTCGACAGCTGAGAATCTGAGCCATCCAGTACTTCAGCATGAAGCGATTCAAATTTCTCACTATCCCACGTGGACTGGCAAGACTCTTGCATTTCGCGCATGCATGCCTCTGGTTCGGATCCACGGAATTCTGCTGTGTTTGCTGCAAGCAGTCGGCCGCTCGAATGGTCCAGCTATCCTCATTGGCATCGTAGGTGTAGCTGTGCTTTGCCAACTCAACAAAGTTTGCCATTGAGCACCAAAGCTTCGCCTCCCAGACCAATGGCACAAGCGCACCACCTGTTGCTGGATCAGACGGCGAGATGCCGTCGCAAGGAACTTCGATCTCGTGATCCTCAATGACCTCGTCAGCTAGCCTTTGGTTTCTCACATGGGTGTCACTTCTCAAATGACGGCCAATGTAGTGCTGCACGCTCGACAACCTCATCTGGTCCGCCTCGCCGACTTTGCCCCCTGGCCATGTTGCAGTCTTGCAAACCGAGCACTGGTACGGCACCCGTTTGTTGTGTGTTCCAGCCGGGAGCATGGTGATGATTGGCTCGAGAGTGCGCACCCAGTCCCGGATCAGTTTCTCCTGGTCTTCTGCAGGATCATCATGTTTTCTCGGGGGGGGGCCAAGGAAGCCACTGAGTCATCTTCAGTTTTCTCTTGGATCCATCCTGGCCCATTCGCTCTCACACTCCGTTGTCCTTGCAGAACACTCTCCACGACCTTCTGCATGTTGGCTGCATTGAACTTAGACGACTCCAAGAGCTCCAAGCACGCCTTGCACTTGATCTCTTTCTCCTCGAGGAGCCGAGTCTGCAGCTGGCTGTACCCGCCGTCAGAGCAAAGGTTCAGCTTCTTCCCAGGAGCATGCCTGTTGGTAAGCACAATGGATTATATAATTCGATTTGATGGCAACTTCAACTACAGAATGATGGATACTGATGGATACTGTCTATCTCTTTCTCTCTCCATCTGGAAGTGACAGGCTTTCAATCCATCCATAGCATTGGAATTCCTACAAAATGATGTAACCACTTGCATCCTCTACAAAATGACCCTTGTAGACAAAAGGATGACAAAGGACCAAAACGGAATCCGTTTGATAAAATAACCCATCAAAATCCTACAAAATGGACTGTGTAGGTTGTCCGCTCTACAGAAAGCTGATTGTCAGCTGCCTGTGGTGGATCCTCGAAAACGCAGGCCAAGTCAGGTTGATGTCTGACAGGTAAGCTCGCACTCCAGCTGCTTTGAGATCGCTCGTGCTGTTGGTCTTCTTATGGCATGTTCTGACATGCCGTCGTCGCTTGATCCCTTTACAATTTTCCTGCAAGCTGGATGTCAGACCCCGGGATCTCTATTCAGAACAGTAATGAACAGTACTTCCAAAAAAACAGCAACAATAATACCACAAATTCTCATAATTTAACATCGTTGTCAGTCCTCATCACTCAAGACTTCCAACTCAACCATATCTGTCACCACCTCTGCTTGTTGAGGTTCTTTTTTGCTAGGTTCTTTTTTGCTAGGTGCCTTGAGAAAAGGTTCTTCTGGCTTGGCACTCCCAAATTGAGCTGGCCGACACGACTGGGCTCTTTTCGGTGCCTCCTGTTCTTTTGGAGGTGAAGGCTTGTCCATAGGAGGAGGTTCCTTTGGTTTCACAGGGGGGGTGAGTGGCACATCATCTCCCGTCTGCAGAAACGCGGTGGGCGGAATCTCATCTTGCATCCCGGTTGCTGCAAACAACAACTGCCACCACGGGTCATCAGACACTCCGATCCACAACTCAGCCAGTTCCTTGGAATATTTTTCCAGAAGTCATTATGTAGGGGTGGAAAGGTATGGAGTGTCTTTTTGTAGGAAACACATATGGAAACATATGAATACATATGAAACATATCGAAAAGATAATGAGGGAATACCAAGTGTCTTCACGCATTTGTTGAACAGCCTTCTGGTCGACACCCTGGCATTTGGCAATGGGGCCTCCTTCTAATGATAACATTGTCCACAGACCACAATTTCCATCACCAGGAACCGCGGATGCAAACAGATCTATGCCCTGAGTGATTTGGTTGAAGTCTTGCTGTCTCAGGAGCAATTCGAGATGCTCCCGGGCAGATGCTGCAAATTCATCATCTGATTCATCTTCCCCCGGAAGCATTGCTTGGCACTTCTGAATCCGTTTGGCATGTTTAATCGAAGACTCTTGTGTCAGTTTTGACCACAACTGCTCCCCCATTGTGTCTTTTTGGAAAAGAGGAACAAAATGGTTCAATTGCTGGTATGAGCCTCTGGTATAATCGGCCAAAAGAACAGCAACATTCCATGTACCTGACTCGTGATCCATGTGCATGATGTCTTCTGGTGGGGAATGTTTGGACGAAGCATACAGGGGGTGGAAAATGTCCATCACAGGAGCCAGTTGAGGAGGATCTTGACATGCATCATGATAGTGCAGCACCATGAGCCGCTTCTTCCGACTTCGGGCTAGAAGAGCCAGGTCAAGCAAACCAATGAAGAAGCCGTTCTTCTTCACAGTGTTCGCATAGGCCACCTTAAAAATTGCCAGGGAACACCATTTGATGAATCACGAAACCAGAACACTTTTGAAGTGGCAGTATGCACAATTTTTATTCACAGACATTCCAAAATAATGAAAAGAAACCACATGGTCAGCGAGACACCATGTATCTCTGTATCTCCGCGTCACCCTTTATCTCGTTCTCTCTGCCTTTAGGGTCGTCGGGAAGAATCGGTGTTTCTATGTGTTTCTATCATTTTGTAAGCATTGGGTTGCTCGAAAAAATCTGTAGCAAGGAGCCCAAAGACTTGGAAGGATAAATATTGAGTAACCCATGAGAATCTGGAGCTCATGAAGAATCTATGTCATGTATTGTCATGTGGCAACTGCTTGCCTTGCCCAGGGTTCTGAGAGCTGCTGGTTTCTTGAACTCTGGTTCCATCCTTAGGTTCCATCTCCTCCTCCTGGCCATGGCTATTGGATTGGAATGGGGTCACAGAGATGGTCTTACAGAAAGACCTCCCACCAATCCATCCCTACAAAATGATCAAACAAATCACAAAAGGATATCACATGACTATATGATTGAGAAAGATCGGAAACAATCAATCCTGATCCCACCCACGATGTTCACACCGGTCCGAGCTCCTTCATTGGGATTGATTTCTGTTCTTCCAATTTTGATTTCTTTACAGCAGGCTCCGTGATTGCTTGCTTGATTGTATCTGGTTCCTGGCCTGCAATTTGATTGTTGCCTTTGTTCGGTGTTGCCGTTTTCTTCAACTTCTTCTTCTTCGGCGTTGGTGTCTTAGCCGGAGGGGTATGAATGAAAGAATCTGGCAACTTTCTTCGCTTGGTTGTTGGCGTTGCAGGTTGCTGCGAAGTGTCGTTCTTCTGAGGCATGGTGCTTGCTGATGAATTGTCGGGCATAGGACTAACTGCAGGCTTTCTGCTTCTCCTGGCTGTTGGTGTGCAAGGCTTCTCAGGAGCTTTCTGCTCAGGAGTCATGTCTTCTGCTTTGTTCAACCCAAACAGATCCAATCTTTCAGTGTTCTGTTCCTGTGTTGCAGTCTGCTCTTGTTCTACATGAGTTCCTTCTTTCTGTTCAAGTGGTGCAGTTTGGCTGGGTTCAGCTTGCGTTGCTCCTGGTTCAGGTGTCAGAATGTCCTCTACATTCCCTGATGCTGCATGTGGTTCCTCTTCTGTCTCTCCAGGCATCGAATCAAACTCCTCACACAGTAATTTGAGATTCTTCCAGGCTTTCTCCTCACTTGTTCCAAATACACGAGACCAATCCTGAGGATCAACACAAAGTTGATCAGCCCATCAAAAAAAAAGAAAAAATCATCATTTCTCGGCGCAGATGGTGCCAACAAATCCTAAAAAGAACGAACAATTGGATAAATCCATATGTTCAATATGTATCAATATGTATCAATATGTTTCATATGTTTTTTTTTTCATCCTTATCCACCTGTATAACTATGCCAGGGTGCAGCCTGAGCTGGCATGTCCAAAGCTGGATCTTGTCCTCCATCGCATACTGCAGGCCTTCCGTCCTCAGATGCCGGGCACACATCAAAACCCAGGTCAAGTGGCCTTTCTGGGGTCCCCCCTTTGCGGGCCCTGAAAATGATCAAGATGAAGAATTTTAAGTAAAGAGATTGAATGGAAAAAAACAACCCTTTGATTTGTTGTTTTTGGATGCCTTCTGTGTGGTGGGTGGGGTGTTTCCAACCATCTCCGCTCCAGCCCCGACAGCATTCCCTACAAAAAGGCCTGGGCTTAGTCTAGATCTACAAAATGATCAAACCCAGTGCACACAGACCCTAAATATCCCTAAATCATCTCAGGACCTTCTCCGGATCTGAAATCTATAAAAGGGAATTGTGTTGATCTTTTGTGTATATCTATTTACATGTATATAAATGTATATAAACCAAATATATTCAAATATATTCATATTTAACAATGGTCTACCTGTATAACCATGCCAGGGTGCAGCCTGAGCTGGCATGTCCAAAGCTGGATCTTGTCCTCCATCGCATACTGCAAGCCTTCCGTCCTCAGATGCCGGGCACACATCAAAACCCAGGTCAATTGGCCTTTCTGGGGTCCCCCCTTTGCGGGCCCTGAAAATGATCAAGATGAAGAATTTTAAGTAAAGGAATTGAATGGAAAAAAACAACCCTTTGATTTGTTGTTTTTGGATGCCTTCTGTGTGGTGGGTGGGGTGTTTCCAACCATCTCCGCTCCAGCCCCGACAGCATTCCCTACAAAAAGACCTGGGCTTAGTCTAGATCT